ACGTAGGTGCCACTTGGCATATATTTTTGCCATATGGAATGGTTACATAAGTTAGGGAAAAGATCTTGGTGGAATATTCTAGAACTATGGAGAATTTCCTTGGAAATGTTCTAGATATTTATGCATTTGTAGGAAGGTTCTAGAGAAATATAGAGGTTTCCTTAGGAAGACCTAGAACCCTATAAAATTGTTAGGAAAGTCCTTAGAAGAATCTAGCTGTGTAGAATATTCTAGAGAAGGGACTTAGTTGTAAATATGGAAGGACTTGTAGAACAATTATTATTTACATACCAACCCCTAGGTGATTAGTATAAATAGGGGACATTCGTTTGTAATTCATCAACCAAACAAAACAAATCAAGTTCTCTCTAATAGAAAAGCTTCCTTTGGCAATTCTCTTATTTTCTAATATTCCTTAGTGATCTTGAGTGTAGTAAGACTGACTTGGCATAGCAAGAATGTGAGCAAGTTGTGCAAGTTCGTGAACGAGTTGTCAAGTGCCGCACATGTACTTAGTTTAAGACTAAGGACGTGACAATACGCTCCATAAAAATAAACAAACACTTTTGGGCTCTTAGAACAACGTTCTGGACTTCTGGGTTACAAAAAGTGGGCTTTGGGAGATGAGACCTCTTAAAAGCATGGCAGGATCTTTACATAAATAGCCGGTCGAATTCCCTCTTTATTTTTTTAGCTAATTTTACATAGATTATACATGATTATACACATATTATATATATTGTACATTTGTCGGCTAGTTTAAATTTAAACGTTTGGATAGACGGCTATTTAAGTTAATTCTTCCTAATCGGTCTCCAATTAGGAAGGATGAGAAGTAATCCTCAAATCTACTTCCATCCCTTTGCACAAGAACGCCTTTACTAGCAATTGTGTTAACTATAATAAATTAATAACTGGGTTTAATAACCTGAAATCAAGGCAAATAGTCATATGATAAGTGCTACAGCTGATTAAAATAAATCTAACAAATATAATTACATTATAGTATACATGAATACCACCCTCAACTTGTTATGAGGTTCCAATCACGCATCTAAACTTTGCGAGAGATTTACTATCCTAATGTGGTAAAAGTGTTTCTCCTCCCCACCACACTCCTTAATACTAAGAATCTTCTTTTTGGAAAATTCTCTGGGAAATCCTCAGCTGCTATCTTTCAGGTGCATACTGGATAATTTGTTCATTGTGCAATAACTCGCAATTCATACTGAAAATGTAAATTACATTAGGCAAATTCGATATGACGAGCTCTGACCGAAGAAGTTGCTAGCAAAGGGAATCAATACCAAATTTCACATGTGAAAAATCACTCACCCAACTAACTCATCCAATACCAATATGACGAGCTTTTCAATAAAAGAAAGTTGTACACATAGCTATATATATCTAGTGGAATAAGCTGTTCCTTTTCCCTGCTAAGGCCAACCAATACAATGCGTGCGTTCACATACAGAACAAGTTGTAGGTGTCAATATGCAATGATTGTATCCAGACAACATCTCATTTCCATACGAGTAATATAATTGTGGCAATACTATTATATTAGCATAATGTGTCATATTGCCTTCATTCTAATCAAAAGAGAGACACTGGCAAAGAATAAAATAAAGTGGTCCAGTACTGCAACTCGGACGTTCGGCAAATTGTCTTTCCAGATTTATTAAAAAATATCAGAAGTCAGATCCACTATTTACATTAATCAAATAAGTGCTTATTTTCTGTTTTGAAACCTTTTATTAATTAAATATAATTAATTATTACACTTTGTCAACTTATTTTTATCATTAAATTATGATAAACTAATATAATTTGATGCAAAGATAAAAGGTAAATAAATTTTTCCGGTTCGGGTCATTAGTGCCAGGCAAATATAAAAACCATTTTTCATATGTTAAAGTGTGGTTATTTCTTCCTTGACTGGTCATTGTCCCTCGGAATTGTAAAAATAGAATGAAGTAATAAGAGTGTAGTTGTGTTTGCCATTCTGGTCAACAAGCTAATAAAATACTCCAGAGACAATACAATTAGGATACATACTAGTGATGTTCCCTTTTGGAAGTTTGATCTGCACTAAACTAATTCATACTTAGGATTTTAAGCGACAAATTAAAGAGTATAATATTACTACGGTATATATAAGTAATATTTATATGAAAGTTATGCTTAAGTTAAGTCTGAAACGAGAGATATCATATCAAATATTCATCAGATTAGTCAAATTGATCTGTCTATAAAATAATAATTTCATATTTGACAACACAAGAGGGAGTTATTGTGTTCTATTAAACTTTAGTCGACTAATTTTGACAAACTTCACCTGCACTTTTGAACACAACAATTTAAAGAAAATAGTTAGATGTATCAGAAAAAATAATTATAAGACATAAATATAAAATAAAATTATAGAGTGACACAAATAATTTTATATTGGTTCGTGTATCTGTGCGAGACCTATATTCAGTCCCTTTATTCCACAAGGTTATCTTATTACTTCTCAGTTTTGGATCAATTACAATTATGGTTTTAGAACTCGTTCACCACCAATGATTTTCACTCAATCCTTTGCTTTTAAAAGCTCACCAAAGAAACTTACAGACACAATTTTTCTCTTTTCACTCATACTCTTTGCTTTTGTTTTCTACACTCACAAAAGTACAATAGTACTTGCTAGAAAACTGAAAGAGAGTAGTCTTGTTTGAGATGGAAGTTGCATGCCTGAACTAAGAAGCTCTTTAGAATTTATAGCATCTTTGTGGTTGGCCGTTGTTCCATTCTTCACGATGTGCGTTGGTTATATTTCGCTACTTCCATAAATGATGAAATTGACTTGTTTTAGTTCCAAGAGGGAATGTTGGAACTAACTCTACGAGTGGCCCAAGAGAGTTTTATTTCAGTCAGCCTTGAAGCACGATAATTCATTATTCTCTTAATGACTTAATTTTCACCAAGAAGATTTTAGCCCTTGTCATAATTGCTCAAGTCCCTTTGATCTTGTGGGCTTGTATCCACTTTGGCACTCTAATCTAGAGTAATTTAGAATAAGAATCCTAGCTGAATTACCAAGATTAAATCGATGAACATGGAAGAGAGATTGTGTAAAGTGCTCTACTTTCTGAAAACAGTAGAAATGAAAGCTTACAGTTAGTGTGAGTGTCTATCTACTTAATACACATTTACTTGACAACTATCCTATCTAACCCACTAGCTCTACAGACTAACAACTATGCTAACTAATAACTAATTACATGGGCATTAGTTACAACTGAAAATAATTAACAAGATAGCTAGCATTACGTTACACCTCCACTCTCATTACTCCCCCTCAAGCTGGTGGGTATGAAAATATTAAGGACACCTAGCTTGGAAACTAGAAACTCATGTTGTGGTCTATATAATCCTTTAATCATAATGTCTGCTTGTTGCTCTTTTGTAGCAAGATATTGTGTTTTGATCAACCCTTCTTGTATCTTTTCTCTTATGAAATAGCAATCGATCTCTATATGTTTAGTTCGCTCGTGATAAACTGGATTTGCAGCAATCTATAGTGCTGTCTTGCTATCACTATAGAGGTCTACTGGCATATGGAGCTCTTCTCCAAGTTCCTTGAACAACCCTACAATTCATACAATTTCTGATACGGTGCTTGCCATGCTCCACTACTCCGCTTCATCTGAGCTTCTGGAAATAATTATCTGTTTCTTTGACTTCCATGATATCAAGGAGTCACTATGTTTTATCAAAAAACCAGTGACTGATTTTTTGGAATTGGGACATGATGCCATCTGCATCACAGTATTCTTTCAGCTTGGTTGATCTTCTGCTGCTCATGAGAATCCCCATTCCTGGTTCTCTTTTCACATATCTCACCACTCTCAAGGCATCATTCATGTATGATCGTTTAGGTTGATGCATAAACTGACTTAGAGTTTGTACATCAAAGCAAATATCCGGCCTGGTTAGTGTCAAATATAGGAGTTTTCCTATTAATCTCTGATAAACACCTTTATCATGCAAAATTTTATCAACTGTCCTCCCTCCTACTCAGTCAACTTCAATAGTGGTTAGCTTTATTTTGTTATCTAAAGGAGTGCATAATGGCTTTGAACCATTTAGGCCCATGTCTCCAATGAGTTTCAAGGCATATTTTCTCTAATTCATTAATATCCCCTTTCCTGATCTGCTAAATTCTATTTCCAAGAAGTATTTGAAAAATTTGAAAGAAAATTGGCTTCCTGGAAAATGCAATACTTATCCTTTGGAGGCAGCCTAGCACTTATCAATAGTGTGCTAGATACCATACCAATATATTTCATGTCCCCAATCCCAGTTAAGATTCAAAGGAGACTTGATCAATTAAGAAGAGATTGTTTATGGGAAGGCAACAGTGACACTTACAAGTTCCATATGGTTAAATGGCCAAGAATTATTCTTCCTAAGAACCATGGAGGGCTAGAGATAAAGGATCTTGCCTTGCATAACAAGAGTTTATTGATGAAATGGCATTGGAGGTATAACATGGAAAGTTCAGGGCTATGGAAAACAGTAATTCAAGCCAAGTATGGGGTGACAAACAACTGGTGCACTAGGCAGGGGAGAGCTCCACATGGTTCAGGCCCATGGAAACACAATTCAAAGCTTTGAGGAGAATTCAAGCTCAAGTCATCACTCAAGCTAGGGAACTGGGCTCATATATCTTTCTGGAAAGATAAATGGCTAGGAATAGAGACCCTAAAAGATGAATTTCTAGCTTTATTTTTACTAGATAGTAATAAAGATGCAACTATCTTACATGTTTGGCAAAAATAGTGCTTGGGATCCAGATTTCAGAAGGGACAACCAAGATTGGGAATTGAATGATCTGTTGGGTTTGCTTAATAAATTATCAGGTGCTAATGTCAATTCCTAGGTGCAGAATAGGTTGGAATGGGGTGAATCAAAAGAGAGAACCTATACTCTCAAAAGAGAAATGACAATCTATTCTCCAACATGGAAAATACCTACCAGATCCTCTTCCTTGAACCAACAAACTTGAAACCTGAAAGCAAATTCAGAAAAGTCTCAAAAGCTCGCTGAAAATATCACTAATTCTAAGGATGTTTGACGATCGACGAAGCAGCATCTTCGATCCATTCTCAATTGACGTGTTTGATCCCTTCAGGGAATTGGTCTTTCCAGGTTCCAATTCACATGAGACCACTGCATTCGCGAACACTCGAGTCGACTGGAACGAAACTCTAGAGGCCCATGTGTTCAAGGCAGATCTCCCTTGGCTTAAGAAAGAGGAAGTGAAATTGGAGATCGAAGATGATTAGGTTCTTCAAATCAGTGAAGAGAGGAACGTGGAGAAAGAGGACAAGAATGACACGTGGCACCACGTGGAACGCAGCAACGGGAAATTCATGAGGAGGTTCAGACTTTCGGAGAATGCAAAAATGGATCAAGTTAAGGAGATGATGGAGAATAGAGTGCTCACTGTTACTGTTCCCAAGGAAGAGGTGAAGAAACCTGATGTCAAGTTCAGTGAGATCACCGATTAGACGCTATATAAGTTTATATGTAAATGTAGCAAGTACTCTATTGATTGCGAGCCATAATAAATAGATATAGTAAGGTTTATATTACTGAAGATGTAGATTTATTCTTCCTTCATGTCTCATCTTAAGCCGTCTCCTTATTTGGCCTATCAACCTCTAATGTATTCCCCTGTGTAATAATATTCCTACTGTTGTACTGTGGTTCTGTTCAAAATTTTATCTTACACTTTCCTTCTTTTTTGCCTTTGTATGTTTTATGTTGTTTAATCAGTTTGCGTTTGAGTGAGAGACTCTTTGGTACTCTCTGTTCTCATGTTCTGTATTTCCAATTCTAAGATTTAAAAATAAAATTAACAAATAAGAGACATGAGGACACTAGGTTGTTCAAAACTTACTGAAGCTCATCGAATTTGCAGTATGTAGCGGAACATAATATCAATCAGATCTTCAATACTTCAATTTATTCAAGTCCTGAGTTAGAATTAGTTGAGGTTGGTAATATGTCAAACTAGGTGGGGCGGCTGATCCTTTTTGTTCTCCTGCTATGCGTTCTCAATTTTTTTCTTACAAATAAAAAAAAGGAATTAATAAGAGCATATAAGACTCTCCTGGAAAGGATAATAACAACAAATTATAAACTTGTTACTCACCAACATCAATTTCTCTTTGGTGTTAATAGCCATCCGTATCACTTGATCGCTACTTGTTAGCCCCAAGGCAGTTTAGTTGGTTCATTTTTATCAGCGAGCGTTAAGCTGCCTAAGCTCTTACAGAGGATCAAATTAGAAGCTTAGCTTTCCAGCAATAGAAAGCATCTTGTGTTTTCCGAATAACAACAATCTGGCGGGCAAGTTTGTGAAAAGGACCTGCAGGAAAGAAGCAAACTCTGGGGGGGGGGGGGTATCCTTT